CAAAAAAGGGGAAAGGCAAGGCGCGCGTCAAGGCGAAAAGTGCCGAGTTTGTGGAGAGCGACGAGGCCGGGGAGGCGCCTGCGACGAAGGAAAAGGGGAAAGCCGTTGCGTGGGTGGAGATTGATGAGGAGGCGCCTGCAGTGAAGAAGAAAAAGGAGGCAAAGAGGGCGCAAGTCGAAGAGGACAATGATGAATACGACGATGAAGAGGACGCGCCCAAAGGCAAAAAGAAGGTGCCTGAACTCTACGACCTCATCCCGGCGAAAGAAGGCCAGCTGAAGAAGAACTTGGTGCTCCGTTTCCCCACTGATCCCACCGATCCCATCGTCTGGGATTCTACGACGCTCCAGCAAGCCATTGACGATGAGGAGTTTGACCCGCCGAAAACAACTGATTGCTATGTGAAAGAAGCACGGCGGTTGGAGAGGGATGAGAAGGAGGCTGGGGCGTCCCGAAAGAAAGGAGGGAAAGGTGGAAAACGGGGGCTGTTTTATTGGGGCCGACATGACCAACTCGATTTCGACGGGCCGGTTTCGTTCGAGTACGCCTATGACCCAGAGAGGAATCCGATCGATGAGAATGGCATCAGGAGGTACCTCGTCGCAGATGTGTTCGCCACGCCATGCACCAAGTGCACCGCTATGAAGAAGCCTTGCTTTTTCGCCGGTGGGGAGCCGACGCCTTTGGGAAGGAGCGCCATTGATGAACAAGATCTGAACAAGGCCTGCGCTCCTTGCAAGGAGTCTCGGCATAAATGCCCAGGCCATTCACGACTGAGGCAGTGGACCATCATCGACAATCCATTTTACAAGGATGGTCTGCTCTACAAGGAGGCCAAAAAGTCTACACCCAAACCCACCCAAGGCAACGGCGCCCAAAAACACCACGCCCAAACTTGTGGCGCCCAAAGCCGCGGCGCCTACACCAGCGCCCAAACCAGCGACACCCAAACCAGCGGCGCCCAAACGAGACGCACCCGTGGCGGTCAAGGTTGCAGGGCCGTCGAAGCCCCAGGTAAAAGGTATTGTGCCAAACTCCCCATGCCCAATGCTCTCTGAAATGTCTTTGTTAGATTCCACTCCGAACGCCAAACCAAAGGCCCAGCCCTCGATTGCGTCGCCCTCAGACTCTGCGCCCACTGAGATTGGTAAATCTCTTCAAATGAAGTCCAGCCATCCAACTGACCAATTCAATTGCCCAGCTCGTATGGAGGACCACATCATCACACTCGAAAAACAGTGCAGGAGACTTGCGGCACAGGTGGAGGAGACAAGGGAGAAGCTCGACGGTGTCATCGAAGAGTGGAAGGAAGACGTGGCCGAACTGCTCCTCAAGCTGAAGAAGATGGAGCAATCGGTTACCTCAACCAAGGATTGGACGACGCAAAAGGTGATCTTCGCGATGGAAAGCCTTTTCCTCCTTGGAAATGGCATCCATGCGGCGCTCCTAGAGTTGGTGACGAAAATGACCGATCTTCTGGAGGAGATGGGTGCACTGGTATTGGTGGAAAGCGACGACTCAGTGGCAAAGGTGAAGGAGTTGTTGGAGCGCGCCAAACCCAAGTGGGAGGAGATGATCCAAGTCCTTGAAGCTCGACTGCCCTGCACCCAGGATTTTCAAAGGGGTCAGTCGACGTCGCCCCCCACTGATGCAGGTCCACGTTCGTCCGGTGCAGCAGATGCGATTCACACGGCGCCCACTGTCACTGATGCAGCTCCATGTTCGCCTGGCGCAGCATATGGGACTGACATGGCGCCCACCATCGCTCCATCAACTCCAGCGCCTGCTTCGAATGCACCCTCGCAGCTACACTCGCCCATCGCAGTGAAACAGCAATCAGTGGTGGCCACCGCCACTGCTGGAGTTGCACCTGCTGCCCCTTCAAGTCCCACGGCGCCCAACACCGAAGGAGTAGAACTCGCGCCGGTTGAGGTTGGCCCAGGTTCTCCACTTACCGCCATTGGATCTCGCCCTGCTTCCCCACTAAGTGGAGATGAACGAACCACGTCTACTGGGTGCAAAAGGAAGGCTGATGAAGAGGTCGACGCGGACATCACCAGGAAGAAACCGGCCAGCAATCGGAAGAAG